GAGGAACTGGTAAATGAAGTGCTTGCATCTAATTTCAATACTCTAGACATAGATTGTCTCCAATTTTGGAAAATGCATGGGCAAAAATTACCAATTCTCTAAAATGCTGCCATGTATACTTTTGTGGTACCTGCAAGCAGTGCTCCTGTTAAAAGGGCATTCAGTCAGGGTAGCCTGATTATGAACCCTAAGCGTGCAAGTTTAAATTCTGACACTGTTTGTCAGTTAGTGTTTTTAAAATGTAACACGGATATATTACTATAATTTTTTATGAAAATCAGCATTTGTAATCTTTTTTTCAAAAAAATGATAGAATAAAAAAATTAGTAAATTGGCTGAATAGCTTATGAAGTGTTATGTCACTGTATTGTGTATTATGACTCCTTAGCTATTTTATTACAGATGGTTTATTTTACTTTTAAAGCTACTTTAGTAAATGAAGTAAAATTATAACTATTATCATGCTGTATTTTATAATTGTAAGGTGACTGTTTGAATGTAACTACCAGAGCCATCGCAAGGTTCCCCCATGCCCCTCTTGTAAAAGGAATTTCGTGGTTTTTACGACAGGTTTTGGAAGCGGCCTCCGAACTCCTAGCCGCGTCACTGATAGCCACCACATGCACGGGAATCTTTTATTGTAATATGATTTGACTTGAGACTTGACTTGACATGTCACTATATGACTTGAGACTTGACTTGAGACTTGACCTCAGTGACTTGAGACTTGACTTGAGACTTGCTCCAAAACGACTTGAAAACAGCTCTGGTTATGACAAAAAGCTTGCGCTGAATATAAGACTTTTTAATAAGTGTTTATGAAAAATAAGTAAATGTTTACACTATTGAAATTTGAAACACCAAGTTTGCGCCTTAAATTACGTCACGCAATTTTTGACAATTTTAGACTTTTCACCCCCTCCCCCTTGTAACAAACGACAAGCTCAATGCAACTAAGGCATAGAACAAACTCGTTAAAAAAAAAGCCGATAATTTAAAACAAACCCGATTGGTTGTTAGTGGCAAACCGAAAAAGTTTTAAGGTGGCTTCACAGGAAATAAAAAGTGCAAAATCTAAAAAAATTTTTTTTTTGAAAGATATGATTTTAGAGAATTTAAACATTGCTGAAAATGATGGTACAATTATTTTTTAATAATTTAAATTTTTTAGGCTACTATTTTGCATTTTGCAGACATGTCACAAAGTAGCTTCCTTAGCAACGCCTATAGCAACGTAAAAAAACAGTATGAAAACTTTTGTTTAACCACTGTTTTGGTATGTTTTCTTGTTATGTAATTACATAAGATTTAGTTTAGAGGCTAACTACGTTGAGTTTTCAAAATAAAACCGTTTTACTTACTCAAATTGCATGATTTATACGATCATTTAATTACTCACTTCAAAAGGTAGAAACATGTTTGATGTTAACTTGAAAATGGTAATAGGATTCCGTGAAATTGGAAAAGAACACCAACCAATGGTTAATTTTTCACGACTTATGAACATGTCATGTTTAACTGTAAATGCTTTTGACAATATAAGTAAAACTGTGCAGCCGTGGCGCAGTGGTTAGAGTTCTGGCTTAGAACCCAGAGGTCCGAGGTTCGACGCCAGCTCTAGCCCAACAAGTGACATTGGTACGGAAGGAGGCGTGAACTTCCTGTTAAATGCTCTCCCGCGGTGCTCTATGATAAGACCGTAAGGACTTCTGGGAGCACCTAAATACATACAAAAAAAAAAAAAAAAAAAACTGTTAAAGAAGCATACAAATTTGCTTCAGAAGAATCAATGAATGAGGCTGCTCTTACTGCTAAACTAGAGTCAAAAGAAAAACTTAACACAGGAGAAGCACTTGTCCAAATTGCTATCGATGGTTCTTGGCAAACACGAGGCCACACTTCATTAAATGGAGTTGTTACAGCTATATGTGGAGGAAAATGTTTAGATGTACAAGTAATGAGTAAATATTGTAGAGGTTGTCAAATTTGGGCACATAAAAAAGGTTCTATAGAATATGAAACATGGAAAGTAAAGCACAAGTGTAGTCTTAATCATACCAAGTTGTCAGGAGCCATGGAGAGTGCTAGTGCAGTTGATACTTTTTCTCGTTCTCTCTCGCAATATGGTTTAATTTACAAATGCTATCTGGGAGACGGTGATTCTTCTTCTTTTAATGATGTTGTTGCAAGCAAGCCATATGATCTTTTTAGTATTATACCTGAAAAATTAGAAGGTGTTGGACATGTTCAAAAAAGAATAGGTTCACGTTTGAGAAGTCGACGCAAAGTGTCATATGGCGATAAAAGATTGTCTGGTAAAGGGAGGTTGGCTGAAGCAAGTGTTAATACATTGCAGAATGCTTTTGGTATTGCTATCAGGCAAACAGCTGCAAAACAAAATTTAACTGATGAGCAGAAAGTGTATCAAATGAAAAAAAACATAAAAGCTGTTTTGCGCCATTATACTGATTTTGAAGACAAATCGCATCGACATATTCTTTGCCCAACTGGTCCAGATAGCTGGTGCAAGTGGAAAAAAAGTAAAAATGCAGATGCAGATGAAAACTATTCTCCTAAGTTAAACTTGGCTGAATGGATTTATGAAATTATCAAGAAAGACTTTGATGAATTGAGTAACAATGATCTATTAAAAAAATGTCTTCATGGGCAAACTCAAAATTGTAATGAAGGACTAAATTATATCATCTGGTCTCGATGCCCTAAAAATGTTTATGTAAAGACTGAGAATGTCTTTACATAAACATTTTTGAAATGTAGAGAATGAACTAAAATCTTGATGATTGAATGAATATTTATCAACTGCTAAGTCTTTTTTGAACCTTGCCCCCCTAGAAATTAGTTAATTTTTAGTTTTTTTTAGGACTTAAAAGAAATATTTTAATTTTTATATAACGATTTTAGTTCATCCTCTGACTCATATATCAGAAAGTAATATTGCAAAGTACCGAGTTGTTTTAATTAGCCATTCTGGAGTAATCGTGTTTTGAAAAAATAAATAAAAATATGCTTTTTTGTGTGTTTTTTAACAATAAAGTCCTTTTTTTTTTTCAATAAACCTTTATATTTTATTACTATTTTCATTAAATTAAGTTTATAAAACTGATTTTAGAATTGATTTAAGTTACTTTACTGAAAGAAAATTATTTCCTGTGAAGCCACCTTAATTTATTGGTATTTAATTTATACAAACAAAAAATTCGTATTGAATGTAAATTATTTATAAAATTTTTCGCCTCTGTTTTTTAATTGTTTACGCATTCTGAATGGAATAATTTATTATTTCAAGATGGCCGAATAAGTCCCGAGTATTTAAAAAAATGATATCAAATACCGAAAACAGTTTTTTAAATGGGGCTAAAAGTTATGATTACTTATGCAAAAATGACTTTGGTAGAAAAATTAACTGTACCATAGGTTATCTAAATTTAACGAGTTTTTCATTGATAATTGTCCCAAATAATTTCTGATTAGAAATGTCAAGTTACATTCATTGAAAACAAACATCAATACGTGCTTTTATCAAAAAATCATGTTCATAGACTTATCTATAGCCAAGCCCCAAGGTACTTTGTGTTAAAAATTGCATCTTTCCTAAGTAAAACTACGCTTGTCGATTTATTATAGCCGCATTATTTTTACCAGATTATAATAGTGGTTAAAATAATCTTTCCATACATACCAAATATGTCACTTTTTGATGAAAAAACTTACATATATTGTAATTGAAAAAACTTATATTTTTGTTCGGAAAAACGTGTACCAGGCCTTAGTTGCATTGAGAGGTTTTACTGACACCTCCTCCCTCAAAATTGTACACCATCCTCCTCTAAAATTTTTTAAAATAAAATAATATTAATTTTCTCAGCCGCCTTTAACTATCTAATGAATGCATTTTTATACACAAATTTTAGTTAATATTACTTTGAAAGTCGTTATTTGTGTGCGCATATTATTTGTGTAAAAAAATAAACTTATTAATTTTTGATAAATATATTGTTTAAAAAACTTCTTTAGCAATAAGTTAGTATCGCGGTGCAGGTTATGTAAACATTATAAAATTTTTCGCTAAAGCGTATTAATTATTGCTGTTTAATCATTATTTTATTATTATTTTTATTTAATAATTTATTATTGTTAATTATTTTTTCATTGATAATATATCGGCTATATTATCGACTCTTTTTTTTCATTGATAATATATTTTTTTCATTGATAATATAATTTCATTGATAATATATCGATTTTTTCATTTTTCATTCGGCTATTATATTGACTCATTAAGCTGTAGACGTACATACATTAATCGACTAAAGTTTAATTTAATTTAAAAAGTCAATTCCAATTTGCATTAAATTGGAATAGATGCAGTCGATTGTTTCAAGCTAAGTACGTTTTAAATCAATAGAAAAGATTTTCTAGATTTGAAACTTTAAAAAACTGGATACCCCGCCCCTCTTTTCAGTAACAAATCGTCACAAAATCGTTAACACCTCTCCCCTCTTACCGCGTGACGTAATTGAGGATGATTCCTTATTTGAACTCAATTAACGTTGTACGTCACATGAAGTAGCTCTACAAGTGTATAATGAAACCTTCAGGCATTTCCGTTTTACATTTTACGTTCATTGTTTTATGCAAATAAGATTCTTTCAAAGATATGCTGGTTTTGTTTTGATATTAGATATCAAAACAAAACCAGCTCAATCCCTAAATTAATTTATTTTAAATATAAAAATTCTGCAATGGCTATATTGTGAATAATAAAATATCCTATTAAATTTAACTTATGCCAACAAAAATTCAATTCAAATCACTGTTAATAACACTGTTTTTAACTGTGATTTAAATTAACTTTTATATAACTTGTTTGTTTATTTACGCAAACAAAAAAAAAAAAAAAAAAAAAAAAAAAAAATGCATGTAAAAAAAATAAATGTAAATAAACAGTTCATTAATTTATTTGCTGTTAATTATTTAGAAACAGTTTTAATAACTTATTATAGTTAACTATGAATTATACTTATGAAGTAAATAATTTATAAATGTTACACATATTTAAATAATAACTGATATGATGATCAAAAATTGTGATCAAATTATGATCACATGTTGATTGGATAGGATAATTGATTTTCTTATTTGTTTACAGACGAGCTACAATTTGTAAGGTAACTTTTGATGCTTCTATAACTTATATAAATTAGTTTTTTAAAACTAATTTGCTCCTAATTTGGCTGCAAAAAAAACACTATTTAAGTAACTACTATTAAAACAAAAAATATTTCGAAAGAGTAAAAAAAATGGTTGACAAATGACCTAAAAAACTGTATAAGTTAGGAAAGCATGAAAATAGGATAGAATTCCAAAGAATTGATGTACAAAAAAAATAGAGATAAAAGTTTTTAAAGCATGAAGTAACAAATACAGTAAATGGATGCTGAATGACGACAAAATGTTACCATTTATTAACATTGGAATATCAATAATACTGCAATAATTATTATCTTTGAACAACTGAGTTTTGTTTGGATCTAAATTTACCAGTCATTTCAAGCTCCAAGCTGTCACAGAGGCAAGATCATACTCAAGATCAGTTGCCTGTTCTAACCAATCAAAAAGTAACAATGTTTTATGAAGACTGGAATATTTAGTTGTGTTGTCAGCAAATAGACCCACTTTAGATATAGGATTGTCAGGAAGATGGGTGAGAAATAGTGCAGAATTAAAGATCGATCTTTTTGGTACCTCAAAAGTTACTGGAAATGAAGAAGAGTGTTAGCCTTAAAAGATGATATATATATATATATATATATATATATATATATATATATATATATATATATATATATATATATATATATATATATATATATATATATATATATATATATATATATATATATATATATATATATATATATATATATATTACGACAACAAAAATTGATTATAGAAATTTTAAACATTAACTATATTTTTAATAAAAAGTAGAATAAACTGGTTTTAAAGTTTGAGTATGAATTGAGAGCTTTTAGTTCATAAGGAAGGTGGTTCCAAGTTTTAGTGCTTTGATATTTTATGGATTTATGTTTGTAATTATGAGAGCGGTGTTTAGAGACAGACAGGTTTAAATTACTATCGGAACAAAGGTAATAACAATTGTTGGCACTTTTAGAGAAGAAATTAATGAAAGTTAAAGGTAGGTTATTGTGTTAGTGGTTCCAGACAAATTGACAGTTTAAAAGTTGAATTTAGTCACATAGTTTTGATACTTTAGAAGTTAGGTTGAGCACTTTAGAGTTAAATTTAATATTCTGAAAATGAATAATTTTTAAAGCCTTGTTTTGGAGGTGGGATAACCTAATAAGAGCTTGTTTATGGGACTGCCCCCATACTTGGCATGCAAATCTAAGATGTGAGCCAAAAATAGCATGGTATATGTTCAAGAGTGTCTCAAAATTAACATAATGGTGAATTTTGGCCAACATACCATTAGATCTACTTAGTTTAATTGCTAAGTCTTTACAGTGGGATAAAAAGGAAAGATTTGAATCAATTTTTATACCAAGATATTTAATTGAGTTAACAGGTTAAATTTTTTTTTTTTTTTTTTTCAAGATCATGAAAAAAAAAAATGAAATCACTTGAATAATAGCATCAAATATTTAAAAAAACAATAAAAATAGTTAGTATCAACACCACAAAAAATACATGAAAATGTATACACCAATATAAACAATGCACAAAATTACAGTATAAAAAATAAAAACAATGTAAGAAACAAATTAATAAAACTTAAATATTGTTCTTTTTGTTTTCTTTCATTTTTGAATTTATCACGAACCTTTTTTCTTTCAACTTCGTTTTTAGTTATTTTGTTTGTTTAATGTTTTTCTTCAATTTTTTTTTAATTTTCATTGTTTTCACTTAATTAGTTTTTTTTTTAATTTTTTATTATAAACAATTTTTATTTGTTTTTGTTTTCTCTTTATATCACCTATCATCTATTATCTATCATCTATCATCTTCTATCATCTATCATCTTTTTATCATTCTTATATCATATATCATCTTTTTGCCATTAAAACAATACTTTCTCAAGTTGTTCAAGTTTTATGTTATATATAAAACATGAACAAGTTACTTGAAATTTAAAGTACAAAAATATTAAATATCTAAAATTACTTTGATGTTATCAAATATATATATATATATATATATATATATATATAAATATATATATATATATATATATATATATATATATATATATATATATATATATATATATATATATATATATATATATATATATATATATATATATATATATATACTGTTCTTTGTTTTTTTAAAAAAACTGTATAGATTTGGTTTGGCCAAAAAAGTTTGTAAATATATCTTTATGCACTTTAGTATAAATATATTTATATATTTAGAAAAAAGAGATAAGTATTTAACTCTAACAATGAATAGGAGCTCATTTCGCCTTGAAACTCGAAGCCGAGCAAAAGATGAAATTAAACGTGTGATGATGACAATAGAAAAAGTTAGAAAGTGGTATATTTGTTTATAAAATTATCAAATTTTAAATTGTTTATTTTGAATTTATTGTTTAAATTTTAAATTGATCGTTATTCAAGTTATTAAATTTTTACTGGCAATATATATATATATATATATATATATATATATATATATATATATATATATATATATATATATATATATATATATATATATATATAGAGAGAGAGAGAGAGAGAGAGAGATAAGCAAACATATATATAATATATATATATATATATATATATATATATATATATATATATATATATATATATATATATATATATATATATATATATATATACAGCGCTCGAAATAACAGCCGATCAACGATCAATGATCGGCTATTTTTAGGGAAATTTAGAAAAATTCAAGGGAAAATAAGCTGTTTTTGTCAAAAAATTACATTTGATTGGCAAGTTTTGAAAAACTATTTCGAGCGCTGTATATATCTATATATATATATATATATATATATATATATATATATATATATATATATATATATATATATATGTATATACATATATATATATATATCTATATATATATATATATATATATATATATATATATATATATATATATATATATATATATATATATATATGTATATATATATATATATATATATATATATATATATATATATATATATATGCTTGGAAAGGAATGGCGTGCAATCACACGCTGTAACTGACTATGCTTATAATTTTTTTTCTACACTATTTAACCACGGCGGTCTTGATGTTTTAAAAATTTATATGCTATAAAAAAAAATTTTCAGTTATGCATAACTTTTAATCGTTGATCTTTTCTGAAGTTTTTATTTTACTGAAGTCTTTAAATAAAATAAAAAATTATTTATAGTGATTGTTTAAAATGAACGCATTTTATGTAAATTAATTAATAATGTTATATATATATATTCTTATGTGAGCATTGTGATTCAGGGTGAATAGGGATAATTTTTGTTTTGTTTTCTTCATAATTACCACAATTATTGTTACATTTTCATTTTTTATTTTTTATTTGGTACTTTTCAACTTATGCAGTGCAAATAATAAGTGTTTTCTTTTTAAAACTGTATTTACAATTTTTTTTTAAATCATTTTTTAGTGTTCCTATTTCCCTCCAAGTTGGGTTGAATAGGAACAGTAATTTTAGAATGCCACATATTCCTATTCACATGAGTCAAGAGGTCAATAGGAACAAAGTATATGTTTTTTAAGCAATGCTACTTGTATACAAGGATCTAAAACAAATTAAAGTGATTAATTGGCAATAGAATTAATACAGTTTTATGTATAAGTAAAACACTTAAGAAGTAAGCCCTAGAGTACAGCCTACTGACCAGCCCTCTTGAAATTAAAATAGGTCTAAGCCACTGTAAATGAAGTATAATAATATAAAGTGGTTATGATACTTGACACAATTAATTACACCTATGCTTAATTAAGAAGTTCTAAAATTTTATAATCAAAAATCTTTTTAGTTTTTTAAAAAAATGGTTTTTAGCTATCTCTATGGTCAACTTCTTGAGAAGATGGGAAAAAGTATTTTTTGGGATGGAAGCCTCCTTTCTTCCTGGACCTTTTTTCCATTCGAGTAGAATTTTTTGCCAGGCTGTTTTTAAGGGTCAGAAAAATGCTATGCCTAACAGCTGAGTCAGGTGCGTTGAGTTTGCGGGTAGAAAAACAAACTTGATGTTGTACCTCATACAAAGTTCAACTGCACTAGCACTCAGGTGGCTTGACAGATTGTCATCCAATAGTATTTTTTGACCAGGTAATTTTTTCTAATAAGGAACTGCCATACACTTGATGCAATCTTCAAAACAAACCATGTCAAACCACCCTGATTTGCTACGGTTGTAGCGTGTACCATTTGGGCCTCCAACCGTCCAATTGCTATACATATGTACCGCTTTATACACAACATATATGGGCAGGATTTCGCCATCAGCAGCTGCCCCGTATATTATTGATGTGGCAGACTTGCTGTGGTTTAGTACGCATTCAGGATATTAAGTCCCACCTTTTGTTATAACCTATTTCCGTCCGAGATCATTGGACAGATTAGTCTCATTGTAGTTAACAATATTTTGAGGAGGTACACTTTGCAATGAAACTTCCAGGTGATTGAAATAATCATTAACTTCTTCCGCATTTAAACCTGCACGTGATCTCTTTATGTTTTGCACATCCTCATAGACAATTCATTCTAATGACGATGCAAAAATGATTTTGCAAACTCGGCTCTAGGCATATTATTATTAAACCTGGTTACAGTCTGCTCCTTCTTATCCAAGTATGTCTTGACTAATAGTCTCAGGTCATATGAATCCATGGGATAGCCCCACTGAGAACAAGTCACAGGTCTTTCTACAATAATTTGTTCAACTTTAGGACTAAGTGCAGTTTGACCACCTTGAGGTTTCAAGCTGTCATTCTTTATATATCTGTAAATGACAGTCTTCGGAATACCAAATTTTTCTGCAGCTTTTCTATAGCTCATACCTTTTCTCACAGCTTGGAGAGCATTTTCTAATATATAATAATAATAAAAATAATACCTCCATATTTATTTTTTTGTATCTTTTGCCATCAAGGTCAGGCTTGTTTACTTGGCATGATTACTTCCAAAACATAACCTACAAAAAAAGCACACAGTTTTAGAAACACACCTATAACTTCTATAATATTCTACTCCCATTAAAGATTTATATAGCAATGGAAACAAGAAACTTCGACTATTAATAAAACAAGGTTATATAACGATATTTTCATTTACCTGATGGTCCCGAATCCCAAGTTTCTTCTGATGTCAACAAATACAAAAATATTGAAGCTTGAGTTACAAAACAACCGATCAAAATGGCCATGAAATCTAGACATAAAGAAGGCTTAATTAAAAGAACTATGTGTTTACTACCAACTGCTGAAAACCACATGTTTCTAACTAAAAAAGTGCAGCAAATACAAATTTTTAAACAAATTCAATGATTTGTGTTTATGACTTCCTATTCACTTCGCTGTTTCCATTCATCCCAGCTCATGGCATGTATTTTTTATGATAAATTTAAAAAAATTATTCCTTGAAACTATTCCATGTCTTTCTAAAATCCTTTTAAAAGAGAAATGTTTAAGTTACTTTATATTATGAATAATTTAAATGTAATCTTCTGTTGCAATGGAATAATTTAATTGCTTTTTTTTTATTGTTTCTATTTTTATAAAGAATTGTTTAAAACTTTTTTTTTAACTTTAAATAATCAGAGCATGAAATGATTAAAAATTACTATTTTAGATAAACTACTGTATTTTTTGCACAATTTTTTTTTTGTGCTACTTTTAAGAAAATATAAATATTTATACAATTTAAAAATAACACTTTTTAATAATTTAAATATGTAAAATGTTCCACATTCATAAAACAATCATTAGAAGTAATTTGTTAAAGCGTTTTGCGTAACTTTAATAAAACGTTTCAAAAGATAAGTTTTAAAGTAATTCATTTTAAACGCAATTAAAAACATAACAAAAAGTAATTTTTGTTTTGAGTTTGAGTTTTTAGAGTTTTATTTTAGTGCTTAAATATTTTACTTTTTGTAAGGAATTGTTTTCTTTTATCATTTTTTTTTTAAATTTTCTTCCTATTTTAAGTTTCTTTTTTCAGCGCATTTCTAAAATGCTTAAAAATCATTTAAACATCTAAACAGTGGTGGTCAAGTTGTCGAAAACAAAATAACTTGCGTGGTCAGCAATAGCGCTTGATCGCACGCCATTCCTGTCCAAGCCTATATATATATATATATATATATATATATATATATATATATATATATATATATATATATATATATATATATATATATATATATATATATATATATATATATATATATATATATATATATATATATATTTTGTATATTTTATATATATTTTATATATATATATATATATATATTTTATATATATATTTATATATATGGGCAATTCCCCGAGGAAGAGGATTAAAAAAAAAAAATTAGGAAAGCATATGCTAACCTCAATAAATTCTTTTTTTAACTATTTAACAATGCTTTTAAGCCAAAAAATGATTAAAAAAATTATTTTATTATACCATAGCATTGCTTTAAAGTTGTCAGGATTATATAAACAATTTTTGATGTTTTTATATAGTCCTGTTGTGAAGCGTTGAAAAAGGTTAATGTGCTGCAATTTTATGTAACTATTATTTTTGTAAAATTTTGTGCACGATTATTTTTTTTTTGTGCACCATGTACTGTTTGGAACACTTTGAGCCGTAATAGCCTGAGGGAAGTAAAGAAAATTAAATTAGTAAGGCTAAGTGTTAGCATTAGATTATCAAAATTGGACACATGTCCAGTGCAAAATTAAAGTGTAAGTAGATGAAGAGGGGGCACAATAAAAATCTATACTGACAAAGGCTAGAACTAACTAGTAGAATTATAAAACTATATATACTATGCTGACTCATGTATAAGGTACACATAAAAAATAAAATTTAAGAATGATCCAAAACTTGAGTAGTTTTGAGTTAAAGGAATCTAGCCAACATAAATTTGTCAATTTATAAAGGATCTTTAACAAGTAGTCTCGCCTAAGTTATTCCACTTTAGGTATCACAGTTTTGAGGTTAAGTAATCTAGCCAATAGGATTTTGTCATTTTATATAGGATTATTATAAAGTTGTCTCGCCTAAGTTATTTCACTTTTAATATCACAGTATTGAGGTTAAGTAATCAAGCCAATAGGAATTTGTTGTTTTATATAGGATTATTACAAAGTAGTCTCGCCTAAGTTATTTCACTTTAACATCACTGTTTTGAGGTTAAGTAATCTAGCCAATAGAAATTTGTAATTTTATATAGGATTTTTACCAAATAGTCTCTCCTAAGTTATTTTATTTTAGATATCACAGCTTGGAGGTTAGTTTTACTAGCCAATAGGAATTTGTCGTTTT